CATCACAATGTGTGAATCACACCCTTGTGCACCGTAAAACAGTGGATTTTTAAATTTTCATTTGGGGGGGGCTGGTTTGAACCTCAGGGCCTGGGGGGCGCCGTCTCTGAGCTGCTTTTGCTCAAGGGTGGCGCTCTACCACTTGAGCCACAGCTCCACTTCCAGCTGTGTGTGTGTGTGTGTGTGTGTGTGATTATTTAGAGAGGGGAGTGTCACAGACATCTCTGCCCAGACTGGCTTCGAACCTCCATCCTCAGATCTCAGCTCCCTGAGGAGTTGGGGTTGCAGGCGCGCGCCACCGGCACCCAGCTGTAATAGTGAATTTCATACTCTGTGAATTGTCCCTCTGAGCTGAGCATTCCCAACCTAGGCCTCTCTTCCTCTATATTTCATAACCCACTGAAAGGATGGGAAGGAAATCTGAGGAATTAAAAGTATCAGGATTTGGGCTGGGCGCCGGGGGCTCCCGCCTGTCATCCAGCCGCGGGGAAGGTCAAAGCCAAGGTAGGGGAGGTCTCTGCAGAGTAAACTGAGGTTATGAGTTGCAGGGGAGAGGGAGGCCGGCCTGTGCAAAGGTCCTGAGGCAGGGACACGTCAGGTATGTAGGAGACTGTAGCCCCTTCCATCCACCGGCCTGAGATCTCCCCACCCTGACCCCAAGCCCCAGGACACAGCTTGTCCATCTCTAAAATCGACATCCAGCCAGCGCCAACGGGGCTCTGCCCACCCCTAGCCCTGCCCCCACCCCCACATTCTATCTTAGGTCTGAGCCATGGGGCTGCCCTCGGAACCCTCTGCCCTCTGCCAAACCCCACTTCATCATGTGCACTCTGAACTCTGACCCTACCCCCCCCCACCCCCCCGTTGGATACTCTCAACAAAACCGGCCAGGAACGGATCCTGACTTGCACAAGGCCAAGGTCGGAGGCCGGGCTGTCTCTCTATCTGAGTCAGGGAGTGGGGGGGGGGGTAGGGTGCCCTGTGAGGGAGCCCTGCTTGCACCTGCACCTGCTTCTCTAAAATACCTGCCAGGCCCACCTGTCCCTGAGTCACCCGAGCCTCCTTCCCCTTCCTCCCTGTCCAGCCCCAGGAGCCTCCTGGCTGGTTTTGTAATACAGTCGGCCTCAGGGCCTTTGAATGCCTTTGTCTGAGCCTGTGTGCCTGCCCGGGCGCTCTGGACCTTTGTCCTGTTTGGTGGTGGCCCCAGCCTCTCCACTAAACCATTTGTTAGACAAACATGAGGAAAGGAGACCATCATCCTGCCTGGGGCTGTGGGACACCAGGCCAGGCACACAGCTGGCACTCAGTAAGTATGTACCGCGTGGCTGAATGCTACCAGTGGCTCACACCGGTCATCCTCACTACTCAGGAGGCTGAGATCTGGGGATCTCGGTTTGAAGTCAGCCCATACAGGAAAGACCCTGAGACTCCTCTCCAATGAAGTGGTGCTGTGGCTCAAGTGGTAGAGGACCAGCTTTGAGCAAAAGAAGCTCAGGGACAGTGCCAGGTGCCCTGATTCAAGCCCCAGGACTATCATGTATACACAAAGTCTGGCCAGGTGTAATCTCAGCTTGTGGGCAGTGCAGGGGGAGGGGGGGAGAGAAGGTTGGAAATAGACTCTGGTGCTCTAATACTTGAGCCACGCCTCTAGTACAGCTTTTTATTTGTGAGTTATCTGGAGGTGATAGTCTTGCAGACTTTCCTGCCCGGGCTAGCCTCAAACCTGGATCCTCTGAATCTCAGCCTCCGCTGAGCAGCTAGGATGACAGGCAGGAGTGGTCCACCTCCCAGTTCTGTAGCTTCATTTTGTCTTATTTATTTGTGTTTCAGGACTGGGGATGGATGGAGCCCAGGACATCATCATCCTGGTTGCACAAGCACTGAAGTATTTATTTTCCAGTCAGTTGTGGGGCCTGAACTCTGGGCCTGGGCGCTGTCCCTCAGCTCTTCAGCTCAAGGCTAGCGCTCTACCACTTGAGCCACAGCGCCACTCCGGCT